AGTTGTGAGGGGGAGATTTTGTCAGTCTTAGTAAGGCAATGTAAAATCCCAGGCATGTGATTTTTCATCACTTGCAGTAATTTTCTTTCTGGCCCTTGTGAGATGAGTTTGGGGATTTCCATCCGGTTTTCAGCCAGCCAGCCCTCCTATTGTCAGCAGAAGAGCTGCAAGTGGACATGAAGACGTAAACCTTAATAAGCCTTAGTAAATCACTAGAGAGGGTCCCTGTAATACGCCTAGGGAGATTAGGAGAATGACACAGAACTGAGAAGTTCATATTGTTGCTTCCCAGTGGCTACCATTTTGGCACTGTGAAGAATTTAGTCTTCAGGGCTGTTGTGCTTGGCCTCAGAACTACTTTCATCTTTATGCATTTGCAAAATTCACAATCTTCTGTTACTTTCTGCCCTCCTCCTCCCCCCCCCCCCCCCCCCACATGTTCTTCTTGCCCTCAATTTCTTTCATTTCATATGCAGCCCATTGCTACTTAGAGATGTGGTCATGGCTTTTCATAGTTGGAGGGAGACTGCCTCTGTCTCCATGGTCTGAGAACTTGCAGCCTCCATCCCAGCTGAGTTTTCTTCCAGTAGATGTGTTAATATTGAATTAGCAGGCGTCTGTGGCTTGGTCAGGGAGGAGAAGAGGTGCAGAGGGATTTGAGGAATCTGTAGACTTAAAACTGCCCAGAAAAAAAGCACAAAGATGTACCATCAGTTCCAGCAATGAAGTTGTCCAGTTTATTGGCTGTGGTCTGTTGTGCATGAAATTCTGTTGCAAACTGTGAACAAGGAAATGCAGAAGTAGCAGAATTTCCTAAGTAATTTTAATGGAAATTTTAAATAGGGTAATTTTGGTTTTAGTGAGAACCGAAAAACAGGGAAACCCCTTTGGGGAAAAAAAGAAATTTGTAAGTTTGCTAGTTTTGACATAAAACATTCAGGGCAATGCCCTACTAGTTCCCTAGAAAACAAGAGAATGCTACACAACACTAAAGTAACACATAGCTATTGGGAGCGTAGCTAAAAAATCAACTTGCATTCATATCTGTATGCACTTATTAACTTTCATATATGATTTGAGTTATTGCCTGCTGGCCATTTCATAGGCAACAGCTGTCTTTTGGAATATAGTCCTAATAGCTTTAGTAACATTGGGCCAGACTTATGCAATGGGCACGAACTAATCTGCATTACTAACAGTTATCAGAGGCCTGCAAAAATCACATGTGTTCAGTTGCTAATGTGACTTCTTCCTTTTGGATAGCTGAAATGTTTGTTGTTGTGACTGCCCAGTTTGTTGTTTAAATGGTAGAGCTTAGGTCTGCAGTGATGAGAGCAAAGGAAAATACCCCTTTAAAATGTGTCCCACGGTAGACCTTAATTCTGACAGTGATTCTGAGCATGCCTGTTCTGTAAAGCTGTTGGTGGACTATGCCTACATTGGCCAAGTAGTGCAGTGCAGTAGGATACAGTCTGTAGAGTAAAACAAGTGGTGCTGAAGATCTCGCTTCTGGGTGCGTGTGTGTTTTGGGGATTACTTTCTAGTGGCTCTTGTGGGAGTACTTTAGTTGAGTTGGAGCTTAATTTTGGTTTAGTTTAATCCCAACGGAATCCAGTTCACATCCTGGAAGACTCCAAGACTGGTCCATCATGTAAACCGGGGTGCAGAAAGGAGGCAGATGAGGACTACACCAGGGATCCAAACCAGTGCTAGTATAGACATGGCCTTCATCTGGGGGTACTCTGCCCCAGCTGGGGAACCTGTCTTCCCAGAAGTGGAGGACGGGTCTGTCCTCCAGCCTTGTCAAGTCTCTGCATCCCCACCATGTGGTGGAGTCAGGAAATGTTGCCATTTAACCCAGAGCCTCATCAATTCTTCTTGTAAAAATTGTGCTGACTAGACCTGTCCAAATGAGAAAGAAAAAAGTTTCCCGAGGCCGTCAAACCACTTTTGTTCATGACCAAATCATTTAAACACTAGATTAAACAGTGAGCATGGGATTTCTCCTCTGGAAAATAGGAAGGGTTGAATTAGTGAAAAAAACATAACTCAAAACACAGCCAGAACTTGCCTCATTACAGCTTGTCAGAGAAAACGCACAAAAATCTTGAGGCTAGATAGGCTGATTTATACAGACTGTGAAATGAACATCATCACATATTCACATGGAAGCAAATCTGCCTACAACCGGGTGTGGAAGTTGCATACGCGTGTCTTTGGTGTTCTGGCCTCTGCCTCCCGCCTGGTTTGTAGGACCAGCCAAAGTGACCTTTCCCTAGCGGCAATGAGCTGATTGTCCAACCCACGGCGCAGTACAGATGTAACCAAAGCTCCTGCCGTTGAGTACTGCTCGCAGATACCACCCAAGGCATTGCCAGTGCCAGGGACCCTTTAAGGGGCAAGTAAAAGGCCACATTACGGGTTGCGGGAGTGGGAGCCTAACTGTGTAGTCCAGCATTGATGGTTGGAGGCACTAAAGGTTTTTCATGACTCCTAATTAAAGCCCTCTGAATTGTCCTCTGGAAGGGCAGTCCTCCCTGTTACCTATAGAGAGAATAGTATAGAAAGAATGCCATCCAAACTTATTTAGATGCCCGAAGTTAGGCAACCCTCATCAGTTGCTCTGGAATGTAAGAAAGAACTTGAGTTTCCCCAAGGGCATGGAGCTGTGTGCTGCATGGTATTTCGTGCCATGGGTATGGGGGGGAGGCATATGCTTGTGCTGTTTCTGTTGCTGGCTTATGTGGTGCAGAACGATGGTGGCCTCCATAGATGGTACCAGGCAGTCACAGCCAGTAAGGAAGGAAACTTGTGCTCTCCAGCCAATCTTTTCTCTTTAGATGGCTGAACAAACGCTCCTCACTGCTACTTTAGCCCAGCTACGTAGAGTTATTTGTAATTGAATGCACAGCTTGTATCTCTTTTGGAGGCTCTATATGATACAGATGTATTCATAAGATTATTCCGTCTCTTCCCAACCTCATTTCAAATTTTTGCTCAAGTTTCTCTTGCTTCTCATTCCTTTAGAGAAGTAAAACTCACATTTCTAGAAGTGAAAGACTTATGTGTGGTCGTGAGTTTTCCTTATCAGATGCTGCTATGGAACCCTTTCATCTCAGAGGCTTAGAGAGTTGTTTATAGACAGTGATGAGTAAACTTATCAACCTACCTGTGATGTGTGTTTGCCTCTTCCTTTATGGTGATCAGGAGACTGAAACACTGAGTTCCAGTGGTTTGTGCTTGGTGTCACAAGAAGTATGAGTTGGGAATAGAGCCGGCACCTCCTGACACCCAGTCCAGTACTTTACCTGCAAGATAGTTACTTGTCCCTGGGCACGTTATTATTTATTTTTATTCCCTTATTTTATTTTTATTTCAAAGTCTTTCAAATTTCTTTACCTTCTTTCCCTGAATAGTAGCAGTTCTGCTTTTGGAGAAGAAAAGAGAGTGACGCCAGGATTAAAAAGTGATTAAAAGGCCTGACAAAGTTGGGTGATTAGCAGAAGTGGTTTTCTAATAAGAGTAGTACAGGCAGTTCTATATTTTACAGTGTATTCTTTAAGACAGGGTTTGAGGCTGGCTCAGTAGGCTCTGCCACCATACCCAATTAGCACACCACTTGGGCATGCTTGGGGCTGCTTTTTTGCTCTGAAGGGAACTGATTTGCATGCCTCTGCTCCAAAGAGCTGCAGTGGAGAAAACTCGAGCAGTTCCGAGCAACTAGAAAGTCTTCTGTGGCATCTTTGGGAGGTCATGAGAGTCCTGGGCATCCATTGTGTTACTTCAGGCTGTTGCGACTCCACTGGGCTTGCTTCTGTTTTCCATGAATATGTACAAGAAGGGAATTGGGCCATTTTGACACAGATGAAATCCCCACAGGCCAGGCAGCAATAGGCCAGACTGTGGTCTGACCTTCCCTCCTGAAGCCTGATCGTCACTGCACCAGTGTGATCAGCCCACATCTTGGGCTAAGGACTCCGAGCACTGCCGAGCACTTCCCCATTTAGTCCCTTCCCTACTCGAGTGTCAAGCTATTTGATAACTTACTGCTCAGCTGTTGGTTTTCCTCCTTCTTTGTCCCTCTCTAGATCCAGGTTGGAAAGTTCAACCACACAATTGCCATGCTACACCTTGGGGGAGGAGAGACTGCAATCATCGTCTCCATTGTCATCTGCAGTATCTTGCTGGTCCTGTCTGTTGTCGGTAAGGGAACAGAAAGCCGAGTTCCCAGGCCATGGTGAGATTTTTCTCACTGCGTTTGGAGAGATGCATATCCAATGGTCCATCTAGGCCAAGGCCCTGTCTTCGGTAATAGTCAGTGGCGGATGCCTAGCGAAGAGCATAAAGAGCAGAATAAGCATCCTTTGTTACAGATCTGGAGCAGACACCACAGGATTTTGCTAACCTCATTAGATGCTGCACAGCAAACCTGTATCTTCTGGCTAGTGTATCTTTTCATCACATGCCCAGAACCGCTGTGCAGCAAGAAACCCATCAGTTCACAGCAAATGAGGTGTTTCTAATAAGGATTTAATTTATTTTTAATAAAAGTTATTATGCATACTATTTCTTAAATGCACCACTAGTCATTAGAAACATATTTCTGGAGGTGTGGGAAAGGCTGTCAGACATGGACACTGTAATACAGGTGGTAAACCTCTTGAAATCTATATTCATTAATCAGCTGGAATGTATTAATATGCAGTTAAGTTGAGTATTTTACAGCCCAGACCTAAATTGAAGATGACAGTTACGGTATGATCATTAAATTCCTGCTGGCTTGATTTATATACAGATAGTCAACAGCTGCCTGGTCAGAAACATTTTGTCATAGGTGTTAAGCCAACACTGAGTTTAGCTTTCTGTACCCGTGTCAGCAGTTCCACCCAGATGACCACTCTGATCCCAGCTTCAGCTGCTCCTAATGATCTCCTCCAAAAGGCTTGTTCTGTCTCTCTTCTCCAGCTCTCTTTGTGTTTTGCACAAAGAGCCGCAGAGCAGAGCGCTACTGGCAGAAAACTTTGCTCCAGATGGAAGAAATGGAGTCCCAGATCCGAGAGGAAATTCGCAAAGGTAAGTCACTGTACTGCCGACAGAGCCGGGATTAGGAGGGAGATGTCAGAATAACAGGATTGAAGCGGTTCACCGTCTGCTTTATAGGAGTGTTTAAAGAAACAAGAACTTAGCCTGAGTTTTTGTCATTGCCTTTGTGTTTCAGCAGGGTCTGTGAATAAGGCTCAGTGGTTGGAAGTGTGGCTCTGCCACTGTCTTGCTGCCTGACTTGAGCAAGCCACTTATCTTCAGTGCCATAGTTTCTCTGTCCAGAGATTAATGACCGTTGGCTGTGACAAAAGATTGCTTGAAAGCCACACTGATTTATAACATGGCTTATTAATGGGTACAGCAAAAATTGCAGCACGCTCCTGCTAGAACAACTAGAGAAGCATTTCAAGCATCCACGTTTGCTGTCTTCTCAGTACGTGAATCTCTGCAACATACACTGAAATTCTCCTTCTGTAGAACCAGACTCTGCAGGACTGGTATCCTGGCGGCAATAAAAATTTTCTCTCTACAGGATATGATGTATAGTGCTGACAGTTAAATCCTGAATGTAATCTGCTGCTCCTTGAGAAAACCCAGCTTCAGCTCACTCAAGGAAAAAGGCTTGAGGAGGCAGAGCCAAGACATCCAATGTATTTCAGTGCCAGCCTCCCTGCTGACTGACTCAGCTGGTAGATTATCAGAGCTCTTACCATCTGTGGGTCTCTTTGCCTAAGGTTTTGCTGAGCTGCAGACAGACATGACAGACCTGACCAAGGAGCTAAACCGCAGCCAAGGGATCCCGTTCCTGGAATACAAGCACTTTGTCACCCGGACATTCTTCCCCAAAGTAAGACAATAACACATTTCACAGGCATCTAATCACTCCCAATTCCTCCCTAACCAAATCAGGTCTCTGCTTTCCCTCTGCTAAAGGGTCATTACAGTGTAACAAAATCATTCCACTGTTATATATCTAGTTGTCATGTATTTCAGCCTTAATTATCATCAAAACTGGAGCCACAGCTCTTCAGGTGTGAAGTAAGGTTGGGCTTGGTTAGAACATGATAGGAGCCTTGCAGAGCAAAAAAACAGATGAGACTCCATTCGTTGGGTCAGATTGCACTAGCTTCCCAGTTCAATGCATTTGGATACCCTCTTCTACAAGTGCTGTCTCTCACATGAGAAGAAAATGCTAGGGACATCCAGTTCTCCCCTAGTGGTTCCAGTCATACCCCAGTGGTCTGTTTGGACGAAGATGAGGCTGTAAGATAGTATCTCCCATCTATGTTCAGGGAAGGGTGGTTTTTTGTTCCAAGTCAGCATACTGCCTAGGTTTTCCAGCTGCATTGCCAATTCTGACAAACTCATTAGATGTCTCCATGTCTTCTCTTCTGTCCTTCCTGTCCAAGATTGGGCGCATGGTGTCACCACTAAGAGACCACTGGGCGTAGAGTCCCAGTGCATCTACCCAGAGTCCTCCTCCAGGACTGCCCTAGATATGACAGTTCCATAATTCCTGTCACCAGCTGCTCTGTTGTGGTGCTGTGCACTGTTAACAGCAGCTATATTTCACCCCTGAGGCAGTTGCATTTCAGTGGTGAAGAGTGAGAGGATGATTTATGACTGCAGTGTTTCATAAGTAATTATTACCCAGATTTTTAAGTTATCCAGTCTCTATATATCTGCAAAGTAGACTCTTTAAGATTCAGGCTGCAATATGAATGTTAGAGATTTAAACATTTTTCCCATCTGTTTCAAAAGTTACATATGTTAAAACACCCAGTAGTCCTCTATTTTGACTTACTCTTCTATAATACGTTCTCTTCTAGGATCTTCTAGCTGTCAAATTAGTCTATTTGCAGTCTCCTACTCTAACAGCCTTGTGTCTGCTAAGACATCTGCCTCCCTCCATTCCTATGGTGTTTGTTCATTCAAGAGGCCCTTGCAAAGTGTTTAAAGGCTTCATAAAGCATTCCAGTGCATTTCCTCATAATGGGTGGTCTTTAGTCCTGATGACATTTCTCTCCATCTTACTCTCTTGTGGTATGTGGCGAATGAGAAGGACTCTAGTCTCGATCACTTGCTCTCTCCTGATGGCTCTCTCTCGTTGCAGTGTTCCTCGCTCTATGAGGAGTGCTACATTCTGCCTTCCCAGCAGCCCAACTCCCAGGTGGGGTCCCAGGTCCAAGAAACTCATCCGCTCCTGGTGGGGGAATGGAAAGTGAGTAATCCATTAACAAAACAAATGTTCTTTGACAGTTACTAACGATATTCTTATGTGTTGACAGTGCCATGTATTTTCTTGTGGTGCGTGGGGAATGCTTGATCCCTCAAAACTTTCAACGTATACCAGCACTGGATCAGCTTTTGCTGACTGGAGAAGATAGATCTGTGAAATTCTGCTCTCACACAAAGGATCTCTATCACGAGATCTTCCCCAGTTTCACTGTGGGCTTTTCTTTGTAGGTGTACCATATCGTATTTCATTTCAGTCCCATATGTAGCTCATCATAAATAAGCTCAACAGAGATTCCTCCCAAGCAGGAGTTCAGTAGAAACTCTTGTTGTCCCAGAGCTAGGTTTCTTGCGGACAGAGAGGTGGGAATCATAGAGTCAAAGAGTAATTTAGGTTGGAGTGGAGCTCTGAGGTTCATCTAGTCCAACCCTCGGCCTAAAGCAGTTCCAACAAGACTCAGGCCCTTGTCCAGTCAAGTTTCAAATATCTGCAAGGATGGAAATCCCACGGCCTCTCTGGGAAGACTGCAACAAGATCTCCCTTTCACCACCTCCTTTTAAGGCTGAACAAGCCCAGCTTTCTCAGCTTCTCTTGGTACGTCAAGTTCTCCAGCCCCCTAATTGTTTTAGCAGCCCTCCATTGCACTTACTCCAGTCTATCAATGTACATCTTGTACTAGGGAGCCCAAAACTGGACATAGTACTCCAGATGCAGTCTCACAAGTGCCAAATGGAAAGGAATAGTCTCTTCCATTGACCTGCTGGTTATGCTGCTTCTAATACAGCCCAGTGTGCAGTTGGAGTCTTTGCTGCAAAAGCACACTGCTGACTCATTTCAAATAGGAGGGAGTAAGGGGACCTTCAGGACTGTGTCTACGTTCAGTGGGACCATCCTTACAGTCAGGTAGGGTAAAGGCTGGGGGAAAGCAACAAACAGTGCTTTTTTCACTCTACTTTCCAAATTTTTCTTTAGATTCCTGAAAACTGCAGACCCAATATGGAAGAAGGAATCTCACTGTTTTCCACCTTGCTCAACAACAAGCACTTTCTCATTGTGTTTGTCCACGCTCTTGAACAACAGAAGGACTTTGCTGTTAGAGACAGGTAGGAGCTTCAGAAGACCCTGTACAAAGCAGCACTGGCAGCCGATCCTGCGTGTGTGTGGGCCACAGCAGGTGTCTGGGCCAGCAGTGCCAGCCTGACCGCAGCCCACACTGCTGCTGCTGCTTGATTGTGAGGGGAGATGGCCCCTGAGCCCCCATGGTTCCCACTGTTTGCTGAGGCTGCCAGTGAAGGAGCTATCGAGCATATCACCTGTCCTACCCAGCATGTTAACTGAGACCTGCCCACACATTTTCCATAGGCCTGTGGCTGTTAGCTGTTGTTCAGCTAGGCTAAACTTGAGACAAAGACCTAGCAGCTGGAAGAGACTCCATTTATTCCTAACCACTAAGCGATCCAGCCCATCTCTAGGGTCATGCATTTTTGTTGAAGGCTGAGTTACACTGACCTCCCATTTCCCTGTTGGAAGTGGATTGCCTACAAACCTTCTCCATTATCCTGAAGAGCACCAAAAGGTACAATAGGTAATTCCCTCTTGCAGTGTGTGTATCCCTAAACTCTTTATTTACCAGTACAAGCTGACCTGAGGTCCAGCAGCTGAACTGAAAGATGGTTTGAAATATAACTCCTTTCAGAAGGCTCATGAAAATTGTCTGAAATAGTGCCCTTGTGTTAATTTTTTTTATGCCGGTTGGTGGCTTAGTCTTGGGATCAGGCGTTGAGTTATATACTTGTTTTTTTCCAGGTGTAACCTGGCCTCCCTGCTTACTATTGCGTTGCATGGGAAACTGGAGTATTACACCAGCATCATGAAGGACCTCTTGGTGGATCTAATAGATGCTTCAGCTTCCAAAAACCCCAAGCTGATGCTGAGGAGAACTGAATCTGTAGTGGAGAAGATGCTCACCAACTGGATGTCCATCTGCATGTACAGCTATCTCAGAGTAAGAGAACCAGATCAGTGTTCTTCTAGATGCGAGTTCTAGACTGCATGCAAGTGTAATGAGGGACGCATGGGTCAGCTGAGGTCCAAATACCTGTAAGCATTGCCAGTTGCCTTGTGACTACTGGTTGACAAACTCCAACAGATTGAAATGTTCAGGTGTGAAAAAGCAACCTTAGGTTCGGTGGCTTCACCACTTCTGTATGGGGATTTGGTGAGATCAGACTTTTCTGCAGGCTTTCTGGTATGGCTTGAGTTTGTAAGGCCAGAGCGCTAATAGAACTATGTTATTTCCATTTGTTACCATGTCGGAGAAGAGAGCCATAAGGGAATTAAAAAATGATAACTAAAATGGTTTGAGGTTTTGGAAGAAGTTCCAGTTATTTGTTGTTTTCCCTGACAAGCTTGCATAGCCTTACTGATAGTCATCAGATAGTTCAGCTTTTTCTGTTTTGAATGCAAGAGCACAGACTATTAAGACGGGATCATAGCACACAGGGTAGGAACACTATTCTGTTGTCATTGTTCATTTGTATGTGGGGATTCTCACACTGAAAGTGTCTTTATGTTTCCAAGTTGGTCAAATAAGTCTTAGCAAGAGAGGCAAGGATTTCCATCCCGGAAGCCTGACTGTCTTCCTACTCTAACCTAAACAGAATATATTTGGCATCTCAGAGCACATCAGCGGTCCATCTGCTCAGTCCTTAATCTCCAACATGTGCCAATTCTGGTTGGAATTTCCCAGAAGAATTGAGCAATAACATAATTGATTCCACAGCAGTTAATTGGACAACACCCTATTATACCCATAGAGGAGTGCCTAGAAAAAGCTTTTTAAAAAATCTTTTTGCAAAGTATTTGTTACAGCCACAGAAGCAACACTGTATTGTCCTCATTCATACCATAATGTCTTCTGATCCCAGCTGATGATCACTTTGTCCTAAGCAGTATGGTTTTACAGTTCTTAATCTTTTATTTTAGCTCCTATAATTAGCTAGTGTAATGAAGGAAAAGTTATAGGAAAGAGTAAGGATAGCTGTGCCAATAGAGCACAGCTATCCATTTGTAAGAGCAGAAGCAAATGAATTACTGATTTTTTTTTAATCTTTAGTTTTTGTGCCTGTAGTTAAACCATTGGGAAGAAAAAGTGCTGATCTCTCCTTTTGGAGAGAGGAGACCACATGTGAGGCATCTGATCCAACTTCAATTTCTGCTAAAAATGGACATTGTGCAAGAAAGCTTTCTCAGGAGAAAAAAAAAAAAAAAGAGGAAAGAAAGTTGAGTTTTATCACGTGGGCCTTAAGACTTGGACATTTTACAAAGCTAATTAACAATGACTGTAGCTCTTAAATAGCTCCCAAGTTCCAGTATCATCCTGTCCTCACGGCATCAAGCCCTCAGGTCAGACAGGGAGAGGGCTGCTGTTTGGCAGCTGGCCAAGGTAAGAGTAGCGCTCACGTCTTCTGCCCCCAGCCTGGACCCGAGGCTGCTCGCAAAGCGACAGCTTCGTCCCTGCATCGCACGCGGAGGAACTTCTCTGGGTAGTCGGGGAAAGCAAGCCACAGATTGTGATTCAGAAATGCTAATGTAAACCATGAAGCTGGTTTGTTTGTTCCCCTCTATCTTGGCTTTGTTCCACCAGAGGGGAAGATAAAAGACAGCTGTTATAAATAGAAGCTTTTTCTGAAGAAGGACTGTGATAATGCTTTAATTTTATGGAGTCCTGGGGAGTGGACCAAACCCAACAGATTGGAATAAACCTGCAGGTAGAAAGGAGCTGAGGAGAGAAGGGCTCAGGCTGGACGGGAGTGACGCCATCTCAGTAGCCCGCTTTTAATCTTCCCTCTTCCTGCTGCATGACAGCATGGGATGTTTTGTGGAGAGGAGGCAGAGAGGACGGCACACTGCTGATGTTGTCAGGTCTCCTTTTTATGTACGAGCGAGTGTGCCTGGCAGGCCCCGTGACTTCGGATGAACTTGCAGCGACACAGCAGCTCTGACAGCCGGGCAGCAGTGACGTTAACCTCGAGCGGCCCTGCCATAAGTGCTGCTTCTGCCATTAGTCTGCGGGGGGGCTGGGACATGAGTGTTAAATCTCTCTCAGGACGCAGCATCACTGGCCACAGAGCCTCCCCGGCACAACATCTTTCTGAAACGCTTTGGGTGCCTCAGCCAAGAATTGTCTTGCCCCAGTTACAGCCTCGCTGACCTGAATAACTGTAGATACTGTCCCTTTCTCCTAGTCCCTTTGTGCTGTAGTTTTGATTATAAAAACAGTATTAATTTAAAAAAAAATTAATAAAGCCCCTCTCCCAGACTTGAAAGGCCCTACTAATTGTAGGCACCAGCCCCAGGCAAAAATCTGTCATTTCTGTCCTCCTTCTGCAGCCCTCCTATGCCTGGGCTGCAGTTGTCTCTCGCGCAGGTCCAGACTGGTGGGGTGGGTGAGGGATGGGGCTGGCTTTGGGGGTGGTCCCAGACTTGTGCTCGCCAGCCCCCGTGCATGTCCTGTGCCGGCACCCGCTGGAAGTGCTGTTCAGCTCAAAAGCATAATCTGTGTTTTTGACTTGTTCTGAGAGGTAGATGGATTTTTCAGGACGGGCTAACATCATTCACTTGGCTATTCATTCCACTGCTTCCTTTATGTGGTCAGCCTAAAGCTATGGAAATAAAGACCATTGTTACACTTTCTACCACAGCCTTTTTCCCGTCTCTGAAAAGCAAACATCTATCAATAGAATGCAATAAAGTTTTGATTTCCCAGACATTTTCACATCACCCCTCTCCTAATATGCTTTGCAATAAAGATAGGAGACATAATCAGAGGAGAAACTGTGGCCTGCTGGAATATGAAGGAAGAAGAGAACTGATTATACGATAGAAATAGCCAGAGAGGTCTTTCTGACTGTCAGTGGAGAAGAGGGCTTCAAACAGGCATTAGCCTCAATGTGCAAAAGGATGGAGGGGGTCTCTGTGCCACATAAGCAGCCTAAGCATAGCTGCAATGCTCCCAGCATTGCCTTTTGGCATAAATAGATAGATGCAAAGCAAACTTGAAATCAAACAAACAGCACCTCCTTACATGCAGGCTGATTTTAGCTCACTGCTGTGATTTAAATACTAGCGATAGTCAAACAGCTCCGGTGTGCCTTTCATTCCTTTGGATCAAACCTAATTGCCTTCAGAGAGGCATTTCTTGGTTTAAAAAAAAGGTTACCCGCCTGCCTGTAGCGCTGGGCTGTCAGACGTGTGACGATGGGTCTGGTTTTCGTTCTTGAATTATCCCCGTTAATCACAATGTCTATTTGAAACAGCTGCTACAAAGGTCCCTGCCGTTGTGCAGTGGAAAAATTCCAAGTGCTTGTATTTTCCCTTGTAAGTCAACGCTACATGCTTGAAACATTTGTTTCATATTAATACTCTGCCTAGCAGTCTGTCCATTTGTGTTTTGGGGGAAAACGGTTTGAAGGAGCTGTCTTCAACTGGAAGAAAGTGGCAGGCCGCAGTCACCAGTGGTCTGAACATATGCAGGGCACCTGAAGGCAGCGGAGTTGCCTCTGACAGGATGAGGTTTGGCTCTGGGTGTTCAGTACATAGGATGAAGACATTGCAGAAGGCTTGCTGTTTGGGGTTGGAATCAGAGACGTATTTGAAAACTGGCAGCATTTGCACAATTGATGCACACCTCTATTTCTGCACATCTGAGTAGGAATCATAGATGAAATGATCCATATCAGTACTTTCTGCTACTGCTTCGGTGTGTGGGAGTGTGGGTGGGGGGGGGGGGGGAAGAAGAAGCCTTCCCCATATGATATCCTAGTACCATTGTGCCCAAGCCCTAAGTGGGATGGAGGGAAAGGGGCTTGTAATTAAATGAAAATTAAAAATGCAAACAAAATGGATCTGGAATACAGCATTTAGGTCCAGGTACAAACTTCCCAAAGCTTTGCAAGGGAGATGGAGCTGAGTTTTGGTTCTTCACATGATGCAAAGAGGCGATCATCCCAAAATAAGCAGGCGCTTGGGATAAGCAGCTGTTTTCTGTTCCTTTCCCACCGCAGCCTCACTAAGTCATTCTGGAAATGACTCTAAAGTGTTCCTGGGAGGACATCTCTAATGACTTGTCAGCCTTGTTAATAGGGCAACAGCATGTGAATCCAGTCTGTGCTCTAAATCTTTTTTTTTTTCCTCCCAAGCATATGAAAATCAAACCCTCCCACACTCATCATGCATGAAACAGTTCAAATAATGCCAGCCTGAACTGTGCTTTCCATTACTTTAAAGTTATTTTGGTGCCCTGAGTAGCTTTAAGAGCCCATAGCAGTTCAGTCAAAAATTAAAATGAAGTCTCATTAAAATACATTCACAATAGGCGGAAAAAAGGCCCCAGAATGTGTTTTTTTAAGTATTTTTTTTTTCTCCTGAATCAGCACTGATCTCTTCAAGTTAAACTTCCTTTCTCCCATCTAGCCAAGTCCAAAGACAGTTTTGATTTGTTTCCAGATGAGTTTTCTGAACAATACTTGAGGTTTCCAAGTTTACCATTTTATCTGTAGTCCTTGCTTGCCAGCCCTCCTTTCCCCCTCTTTGAAATTTGCTGTCTGATTAGCACTTTTGCAGATTTCCGTAACATCCCACGGTTCCTGAATGTGAAAGCCAAAAAGACAAACAAAAATAGTATCTAGCAGGCTGAGCACTGTGGTTTATTTCCTGTGCAGCAATTCTTTCTTGAGGATAGATCTTGTTCATTTACACTGCAGCAGGGTATGAAATACCCATTTCACTGGTTTCTCGGCCTGCCCCCTTTTCCTTTCCCGCTGTATGGTGGCATTCATGGGAAGGTGCCACATGATCAGTCTCAGCCCATACAGTATATGTTGGCTTCAAGCAATAAAGAGCTCCTCTATCAGCAGGACTCAAACAGGCTTTTAATGTTTTTTTGAGGCAACTTTGTCACAGTTCACCGTCTACCAGCTTCTTTATGTGGGCTAAATCTATATCCAGGATCCAGGCGGCATCAAAACTTTCAAATGCAGGCCTGAACGGTAGGTTTCCAAACTCTGTGCTGAATTTAGCAGTTGGGGTACGTCCCTACTATACGTTTAAATGCATGCAGCATAAAGTTCCCGTTCACAGCAGAGTCGTAATTAGGATTTGTAAGCCCTTCTTGCGTAAGATTAACTTAGCGCTAACTCCACAATTCACATCACGTTATAGTGAAAGCAGGCAGTGCAACCTGCTCAGGGTAATCCCTTGCCTGATCTCTCCTCATCTTGCCTCTCGTTCAGAAACCACCTTCTTTATGTCTTCTGACTTCTTCTCACCTCTCGTGATCCTCAACTTCTAGTCCTTAGAGCATGCCTTCACCTGTTTCTCCACTTTCTGGAAATTAGGCCTTTTTCCTTCTCCAGTACCAACAGTTTTGCTGTTGAGCCTATTTTGTGGTGGTTGCTCTGAAGGAACATTGCAGGAAGTCATTAAACCTCAGCAGAAGTCCCAAGTAACTTTCCTGTTTTCATAAGGAAAGTTGCCCTTGGAAAATTAAATATGTGCACCATGGCACAGATGGTGAGTGCCCACCTACAGTCATGCTTTGGTGTCTTAATGTCAACTGCACTGAACACAGACGGATCAAAATTGACATCAAACTAATTGCTTTAGCAATTATAAGGCAATTAGAATAAAAGACTCACCAAGTCTTAATTAAGAAGCAGATTGAACAGGATTTAGCAGCTCCTAGCTGAGAAACATCAAACTCATTCAGTGAATATCTGTTGTCTTGAGCAGGATTTCAGATGGCAGGGATGTTTTTGCAGGGATGTGTGTGATGCTCAAAAAATACATAAATGTGAAATAATTTACACATGCTTCATTTGAAGGAAATTGCACACGAACATTATGGAGAATGGAATGTACTTCAGTACTGAAAAGTTTCTTAAGAAAATAGCTTATATTTTACTAGCAATCAGTGTAGCAGATATAAGTGGATCAAAACCCTGGCATAAATCCATGTAGCTGAGCTGCATCACAAATGGTCTCTGTCATTTTTTTTGTTTGTTTTTATTACAGTAGTGTCACAATTCACCTCTCTGCTATAACGTGAAACTTGATAAATATAAGGAGTTAAATAGTGTGCTTGCTGTTGCTTGGGAACAGCTTGGATGATTCTTTCTGTTTTTCTATAATCAGAGCTCCAGTGTGGTAGGAAACGTGTGCGTGCTAAGACCCAGAGCCACAGACATGCACAGCAGCCTCACTTCCACGGATTGCAATGGTGCACCAGGCAGCAGAAAGAGGAGTTCAGCTGATATTTTCATTAGAAAGGCACCCAAATATCTCTGTAGATCTGGATAATTGTGCAAGTCAGTCTCATTCCTGTCCTGCTGACTGCGGTGTATCGTACAGTATATGCTCTGCCAGACTGCAAGAAACATCTCTGGATTGGAGTATGCCAGATTCTCCTTGAAGTTCATATATAATTTCATGTGTAAATTAATGCGCATTTATATTTTGCTGAGCATCATGCATGTACCCACTCGACACAACTACACATATGTCCCTACCGTCTGAAAGCATACCCAAGCCCTCTGCCTGGGAGAAAATGCTGACGTAACCTGTTTGTGGTAATTCACGATCCTGCAGTACTTGCTATAGGAGCTGGACAGGTTGTGTTGATGCCGACAAGCACAGTTCACCCTCCCCAAAAATCGCCCGTGGTCATTGCCAGGTATAATGGCCTCTTCTCTTTCTTTTCTGAACTGCCATGTTGTTATGAGGCTGAAAATTTCTGCCCAGCCTCAAGGAGATGCTGACAGGAGTTTGGGGGAACTGCTGTCACTAAGCACCCTCCAGGCGTTCCCAGCACCTGGCACGGGTCAATCCTGCGCCTCAGTGCGGAGGGGCACTTTACATTTTTCATCTGCCTTTTATATTTATGCAAAGTCTGTCCCAGCCATGCAGTTGGAAGGCATTGCCATCACCGCTTCCTGTTTACTTTTCTGATTTTTTTCTTTCCCCTTCCCCAGGAGACAGTTGGGGAGCCATTCTTCCTGTTGATCTGTGCTATCAAACAGCAAATTAACAAAGGCTCCATCGATGCCATCACAGGGAAAGCCAGGTACACCCTCAATGAAGAGTGGCTCCTGAGGGAGAACATCGAGGCAAAACCAAGGGTAAGTGGTGCTTATAGCCCAGTGTGCTGACAGTTGCTGTATGCCAGATGCAGTAGTTGTGCAAGCAGATGATTTGGTGCCTATGCAGTTATGATAACCACATGAATTAAACGAGCACCTGCACAGGCAGCTTGCCAGCACCTACACTCATGACTTCTTCCAAACAAGGCTCCTAATGACTGCGTTTGTTACCGCAGCCATCCTTTGGTGGGTCGTCTAAGTAGCTCAGTTTAGGAACGGAGGGAGATAAGTGAGTTTTGTTGTGCAATACTGAGAGAGTTAAAGCAACAGGTTTACAATTCCTGGCAAACCAGCATCTTTGTTACGAGAGAAAAGTTGCTGGCAGTAAACTTGGAGCCCTGGTGTGCAGGCTTTATTCAGGGTATTACAGGAATGGTGCTGAAAAGCGATTCTGCAAAATGCCTCCTGTGGGAGTAGGACAGACTAAGGCTGTACATGTGAAGGACTTTATTCCCTTCACTGTCTGATACAGAATTCAACAGACGCCTTTCCAGAGCCTGGGTCAAATTCTGCTTTCAATTACCTGGCATAAATCTGGAGCAGCTTCATTGAAATCAGCAGGCTACCCCAGATGTGCATCCTGGTAACTCAGAGCAGGTTCAAGCTCCACATCCTCTGCGTATTCCTGTTACCAATTGACCTGTAAATTTACAGCATTGACTGAGAGGGGTTAGCAGCAGGGCGCAAAGTATTAGTTTTTCTCGGCAGAAATAGTAACTTCATAAGTCCGAGTAGGGGAAGTGTAGCTGCTTCCTACTTTTTTGCAAGAAGAGAAGTAAAAGAGTGTAGAGGGTATGCTGCAGGAAGGAGAGCAACTGCAGGGTTAGTGCTAGCTCACCAGCGAGTCCCCAAATTGCTGGTAACTGAACCATCTGCACATTATACCCAGTGAAAAATCACCTTGATGTAACGCTATGAAGAAAATTGGACTTCATGCGTGCATCGACATTGTTCTTATCACCAGGAGTGCTGCTTGTGTATCTTTCTTGCTGATACTTAAAAGTGGTATTTGCAAAGGAACCTATGGGCTACCAGAGGTCAATCTCACATTCACCAGGTTTCCGTCTAAGAGGCACTTGTGTTTATGCAGAAGCAATGTTCCTGAAATCTGGACAGTTTCCTGACCTGGGCTTGCAAGTCAAGTAGTTTGATGATTTCAGGATCCCAGTTTCATTCACAAATAAATGAAGGCACAAAGTTGCCCTGAGATTTATTGCACCCAAGGAAAGGGAGGACAAAAGTAGGAGGCAGATTTTGGGCTGTTTCCGCATGAAGACCCCCCCCGGGGTGGGAGGGAAAAGCCACGCTTGTAGCATTTAGGTCTACACAGCTGGTGAGAGGAGGAGATACCTGAACCCTGCATTCCTCCTCGCCTGATTGAGGGGGTAGCAGCTCCCAAAGGAGTAGAAGAGGATCCTGATAGGAATGGAATTGTTCTTACTGCTCTGCAGCTCTCTGCTGTGACTGCAATAAAAATTGGGCATCCCTGAGGTTTGACCTGGCAGCTGTCTATCTGTGGTAGCCTGAAGCCTCTGGCAGCTAACTGTCCAGCTAGCTAGTTACATTTTTGAACAGATCATTGAATATGGCTGATAGCGTACTCAGTATTGCACCAAATCCAATCTGCAGAATGTTTAAAGCTTGTTTAAACAAAGGAATTCGGCCCATTGCACCAGGGGAAGGCAAAACAATGAGCACTGACTGTCCCATTAGTCACCAGTTGGAGCCAAGAAGCTGAGGACATGACTGGACTGTGGAGACTGAACTTTCCTTCTGCCCTCAGAGGTGATCTCTGCGCATCAGGGCTAAGGCCCATTAGCCAGGCAGCATGAGAGAAGGTTGCCGTGTTGCTCCCCATGCTCTCCTAGCTCTGTGAATAAATAGGGACCTTCAGTCTCCAAGGGCTATAAATCAGCGCCTTTCCCTAGCTGTAAATCTCAGATGAACGCATTTGTTCAGCATGATTTCTGGCAGCACAAGGCTTAGGATGTACCAATAAGAGCTGTGCATGCCCTTCAGCCTGTGTTCGTCCTTGGGAGCCAGCAGACCGTGGCAAATCGCTCCCACCTCGCACTTAACTCAGCCTCTCCCCACAGAACCTCAATGTCTCTTTCCAAGGCTGCGGGATGGATTCCTTGAGTGTTAGGGCCATGGACACGGACACGCTCAGTCAAGTGAAAGAGAAGATTCTGGAGGCCTTTTGCAAGAACGTCCCATACTCTCAGTGGCCAAGGGTAGAAGACGTCGATCTTGGTAAGGACTGGATTCATTAGATAGGTCAGTCCTTACATCTCAGATAAAGGAGTGCATGTTGCACAGTAGCTCTTCCTGTCTATCAGAGGGCATTGGCTGAAGCAGCACTGATGAGAGAGCAGGTCTCAAGACAGCCTTTTCCTGAGAATGTTCTCTGGGAAGGAGGGATAGGACCAGATCCTGATGGGCAGGGTGCTGTAAGGAACTGTATTACTGGAAGGAAACCTTAGGGAAGTCCGGCTTGGACTTACACCCTTCAAAGCTTGTAATCCTAACCCCCGAACAGGATGTCTTCCTCTAAAATACCCTTGAGCCTGCATATGGCAAATTAATGCATGCCCCTCAATAGGTAGTGCTGAATGAGCCCATAGACTTCTATCTGGCTATGGCTTCAGGGTTGTCATTTATTTACCCAGAGTCCAGCTCTTTCTCCTAAAAGTTAAGAAGAATCCAAGCCCCATGCTAGGAAGAGAAAAGTATCTTCAGACTGCCTCTCTAGGTTCTACCTTGTTTCTGTGGCCACATCATGGCCTGATCTGCCCCCTACACCACCCTGGCAGAGCTGTGGAGGTGCCCTTTTTGTCGTGCCCCGAGGGATGCCCAGAGGGGAGGCAGCAGAGGTGGCACCCACCACCCCCTTACTGGTGCCCATGCTGATGACTGTTCCTTCATGGTCCTTGGTGGGCCACAGAGACACACCCTGGTTGGCGAAGGTAGTCGCAAGGGATCAAAAACAGTATAGTCAATGCCAGATGTTTTTATAGAAAAAGACACTGAGCTGGAGCAAGTGGCATGCCTTGCTCCTGCTCAGCTGGTGCACATATGGTGCCTTTGCATCACAGGTGCATCATGTGATCTTTCCCACCTGGTAGCAGGCAGTGGTCTTTGGTGGTTTTGTGCATTGCCACACGGCCATCTCAGCCACGCTAGTCCCTGGTGCTCTGTCAGGGCCACTCAAATGCGGCCCGCAGCACAGAGGTGAGGTGGGACAGGGATGAAGTGAGAAGTGTGCTCTTGTTGTGTCTCTCTCTGAGCAGAGAGAGACTTTGCAGCCTCTTCCAGCTCCAGACAGTCCAGCCCTAGTCCAGGAAATCCCTGCTTCTGGGGTTAACCCTGAAAGTGTTTCTACCTCAGGCCATTGGAAAACATGTGTTTCAGTTTCACAGCACACAGTGCCCAAGAGGCCTTTGAAGGCTCTGCAGCCTCAGTGTGCTGTATGGCATGTGGCCTCCAGAATAAGAGGCTCCAGGCCCAACTGCACGTGCCTTCTTCAACCTGGATTTTCACTTTCTCCCTTCTCTGTGTTTAGAGTGGTTTGCCACAAGCACTGATAGCTACATCCTCCGGGACCTTGACGACACCTCTGTGGTAGAGGACGGCAGGAAGAAACTCAACACGTTAGCCCATTACAAGGTAAACCTGCAAGTGCTGCAGAAAAACTTTGCTTCCTTGGAGCCTACCTGGCCTCAGGAGTGAGCTGCAATTCCCCTTCCAAAAACAGGATTATCAGAAACAAGCAGGGAGGTTGCCATAGCTTCATGAGAGCGTCTGGGGAATAGACATCTGCCCTGGCGAGAAGCTCGTTAATATTGCAACACAGTGAAACTAATTAAACACTCTTCATGCAAAACAAGTTATTACTGACAACAGAAAGAGGGGGGAAAAAAAGCTCCTATTCCCAATAGCCATCAGCTTGGCTGATTAGTATCACACTGCTCTTGATCCCTACTCCTGCTAAAATCACTGGCAAAATTGTCACTGACTGCCCTGAGAGCAGGAGCTGAGGATGCTGTCAAGGAGCTGAGGCAAAAAATGTGGGCCAAATGTGGGGAATCAAATTTTTTCTTGTCTGCTTTTCATTTAAAATGAAAAGGAACTGGAAGTTTTTGTTTGATTTCCACATTCCCTGGTATTCGTGGAAGTGTAATCCTCACTGCTCTGCAACAGTGCATGGAAAACCGAAAATGGACCTGAGTACTTATTGATGATATTATTTGTATAAAGCAGTGCCTCAGAGCCCCGTTGCTGGCACAGTGCCCTGTTGCACTGAGAACCAGAAATGCAGAACAAAAAGATGGTACCTATCCCAGTGAGTTCGTGGGCTACGTTTAGCTTCATTCTTCCTTTTCAATAAAAGGCAAAACGGCATCTGTACAGCATAGCATTATCGTTCTTCTTTCAATAATCTCATGTCACCATACCACAAATTTCCCTGTGATACTTGTCTGATTCCCATACTATTGAGAACCTCACAATCTCGTTGCACCCTAAGAAACCTTTCCAAGTAGGACAATACTATTATTAGCAGTTTACAAGCTGGAGAAGAGAGGCAGAGCGTGGCAGAGTCGCACAGGATGCTGGAGGCGGAGTAAGCAATTGCACTGGAGCTTCTCGGGTCCCTGGATCTTCCTCCTGGCTCCCCTCCCCAGGATGTCGCTCTGGAAGTTGCCATTAGTTCCCTCACACGAGGAACCACGCAAGCAGATCTAAGCTGTGCCTTTCTTTAAGCTGGTGGTGCTACCCACCCTCCCAGTGACTAGGGAGAAATGACTAACACATCTCACCCTGATCCCTGGCATTGGGGCACACCTCCTTGCGAGACAGAGCAGCTTGTCCAGGCTAGCTAGACCCAACCACACAGTCAAGGGGCTGCTGCTGCAGTGACAGAGCTGCCTCTGTTCCCTGTACGCCCAATCTGTCATTCACATCCCCCTGTTTTACTGTTCCCTTCATCTTCAGATCCCTGAAGGGGCATCACTGGCTATGAGTTTGTCGGATAAGAAGGATACCACACTGAGCAGAGGTAATAATTCACTTCTTTTTCTCTGTTGCTGGTGACCAAGCAGAATCACTTTATTTTCAGTGGTGGGGGGAGACAGGGTCAGCTCTGTGTGGTGGGGGATGCCGTGGGCCTGTTGTTGCCAGCCCCTTACTTGAACAGGCAGGTGTGGAATTGGCCCTTGCAAGGTTGCTGTAGTGGTTATCAGCACTGTTAGACCACCATTTTGTAGTGGCAGTATTTGACAGAGCTTGCACTGATCAAGCCACCTTTGTGCCTGGGAAGAAAGTGCATGGCACTGCTGAGGAAAAGCAGGGTTTTTTTTTTTTTTTGGCCATATCTGCAAGTTCATCTACATCCATGCCTTTCATCATGCTGTGCAGCACGGCAAGGTGTTTGGTGCTAGTCTGTGCTGGGAACTGGATTCAGAACCTGCTGAAAGGGGAGCAACAACTAAAGAGGCAGTTTGCCCTTGCCTTTTTGCATTACAGGCTCTTCACGTGGAAAGAGTTACAGGCTCAACCTTTTCTTTGGGCCTTGGACCCCCCCCCCCCCTCCACAGCAAGAGACTCCAGCCAAGATAATAAAAGTGGAGGGTCACCATCATGCGTGCAGTGTGCTGCCAACCAAGAAGGGAGTGCTGCCTCCACTTGAGCAGGCAAGCTGGCAGCCAGCCGTGTGTTTAGGAGGCCCTTCCCGTCCTGCAAGGTCTCAACTGTTCTTTCAGTGAGCCCCGTTTGCCCACTGAACCCTTGCCCATGCTGTGACTTATGTTTGGGGCAGAGATAATTGTGGAGCCTCAGGAAACGTATCTAGCACAAACAATCAGCTCTCACATGCTCTCCCCTTTCTACTAGATTCTTTCTTACTGAGCTTGAGCAAGCCCCAGATGTCTGTGACGGGTCACAAAACGCCCATGCTCTGGATGCTTGCAGTCCTGAATCCTGCCATTCAGACACAAGCGGTGCAGCATTCCCGGACAGGATTGATGGCTAGACAGAAAAGCGGAGTGGAGACACTTAGTGCTTTATTGACTGCAATGCGTGGCATTCCCTGAATGGCAGCCAACGCCCTGGAGGGGAAAAAAAGAGATCCAAAGAGCTGGGAGCAATGTTTCTGCAAGATTCTGGCAGAATAGGGAGGGCTAGCCTACAAACTGCCAGGATTATAATAATTTGGTCAGCAGGCTGGCTGGCATGAGGTCATCGGTATCAGCGCTGCTGAATAGCCCCGTTTGTCACCATTTGTGCTTGCGCGGCTGCTGTTCAGTGGCGTGGCTGCCATTGCCTCTTGCTCCTCATCAAGCACAGGGCAGAAGGCTCCTAGCCAGATGAATGGGAGATGAGTGGCAGTTGAAACATTTCAGTGGCCAGTCCTCCTGAGTCTGGGACTGACTCTTGTGAGTGGGTGGCTTCTAGATTCCTTCTAACATTAAGGCTTTCTGCATCACTTGCAAAAAAGGAAAAACAAATAGGTTTTTCTGCCCTGTGTTGCTTTGGTAGGCGAAGTTAAGGAGGTCTGAGAAGTGTACCTTTCTGATACAGGCATTGGAGGCGATGCAGTTGTCATGTTTGTGTTCTTGCTTTAAAAATGTGTTATCCAGTATCCTCTTCTCTTCATTTGGTGAAGTGCCGAGTGCTTTCCCAGTCCTTAAGCTAGAGCTGCTTGAGACTTTCACAAGGATTTTTTTTTTTCTCACGTGCTTATTAGAGGCTTGCATTAAATCTGTGCTAACAAAGGGGAAAAAAAAAAGGAGAAATCTGAAACTGCTTGATTGATTGAAAATCCCTTTCCATCCCAATTGCACATGTCAATTTCTTGTCAGCAGACTTCTCGATTTCAGGCTGCAGAGAGTCAACACAAGCCAAGGTAGACAAAAATTCACATTTAAGAAATAAGTTTCAAACCCCACTATCTCAGGCCTTTCCTCACAGTTAGTGGAACAAGAACTGGAGCTCTATTGTCCACTGGAGTCCAAAAGCAGAACTGGGTGTCTGCAGGCAAGTAGCTACCACAGCTTCTGGCAAGTTGCATTAGACTGAATATAGAAGTCAGTTCCTTGTTCCAAGAATGGATGATGCGAGTCTGTCTCTGAAATTAGAGTCCTTTGCCCATCAGGGTAAGGAGATGGCTGTTTGGCTGCCTATGATGAGTGAAGCCAAAAAGCAGCTGAGGACAAACATGGGTAGGTATCACGGGGTGCCCAGAGTGCAGGACAGGAGGACACTGGAGTGCCTAAAGTGCTACTCCTGCTCTCACGCTATCTTGGGTTCCACTTAAAACATCCCTTTGATATTTAAAATACTCCTTAACCTAATTCCTGAGGTATTCACCACATCCACCCCCCCCCCAAAAAAAAAAGGGGTAAACACCACCAAACAAAGAAAAATGCTGAAATCACATGGACCACAAGTAGGTGTTTGGGTTTCTTGCTGAAAGCAGAACACATCCACTTGCATGGGTGGAGTCTGCGGACGGTAGTTTTCTGTTTGGTTCCTCCGACTAAGCTCTTTCTCTTTACAGTGAAGGATTTGGACACTGAAAAATACTTCCATTTGGTAAGTATCCTGTTTGAAAGCTATCAAGGTTAGTGACTGGCCCACTGGGGATGGCCTCAGGAAGGGTCCTTGCAAATGACACCTCCCAGCCCTTCCACCCGCATCTTGGTCAGAGGTTTCCCGTCTGCTTCCTCTGGCAGAAACAGCTACTTCGGAACAGGGCCTTCACTCCAGGAAACCCTCTTAGCAGCAAGGCACAGATAAATGAAGGGAAAGGGAATCTGTATGCACAGATCACAGCAATGGCTTCACTTCCCCAGCCCTTTCTTGTAGTTGTAGCAATAATTACTTACGCAGGGGTGTTCGGTAGGTGGGAAGGCAATCCAGCCCTAACGAATTTGCCATGCATGCTTGTTCTGGAGCAAACGCGCCTTGCAGCAGTGGAGGAGCGTACAAGCAAAGGGCAATAATGCTGTACTTAGCTTATTGTCAGCGGCATGGCTGGGAATGGGCTCCATATGCACAGTACATGCAGACAGATGCATTTGTCAAGCAGCCAGCTTGTTGGCCTGTGATCAGAACTGCCCTTGGGGGGTGGTGGGGGGAGGGTAGGGGGCTGAAACCTTTGTGGTTGCGCATTGTTCAGATATTAAGATAATAATTGAACGCACATTACTTTTGGCAGCAATATGGGGAGAATAGAGTTTTTAATCTTAATCTTGATTCTAATGTATATATTTCTACATATTTCACCTTTACGATGGCTGCCGTTAACAGACAAAGGAAGATATTGGTTACATTTCTGAAAACTGATGCTGTTGCAAACCATATAAGCTTTATCTCTCTAGTAGCAGTCAGCTTCTGCTGTACGGAAGGAAGCAAGCCCCCTTAGTCTATGGGTGAATCCTGAGCTAAGGCAAAAGGACCAGCTTGCTGACTTAAATCAGGGTCATGTCACTGACTGTGACAGAGGTGTAATAATTTGTGCGAAAATCCGGATCCTGGAGAGCCACTTTTCTGAAGGGAAGCAGGGGGGAGGATGAGCTGGAGCCTGCTGTTGTGCTGGCTGCCAGGGAGACTTCTCTCCCTGGAGGTCAGTAGTGTGAAAAACACTAGGAGCAAAGAAGGAGACCAGGAAGGCTGCGTGTGTGCAGTGATCGCTTTTCACCTCCATTTATGTCTCTGGGCTCTTATTTTTTCAGTAGATGTGATGGACAAGGAGAAAATCTTTTCAGCCTTGCTGATATTAACTTAATTCATCTCTGTGGGCTGAAATGTCAGGTGTGTGACCATGCAGGATCAGTGCTTGTTAGTTTTCTCCAGAGAGGCCCAAAGAAAATTGGAAAGGTTATCTGTTGAAAAACTTTAGTACTATGGGATGTAGTAAAAATTGCCAAGATGGCAAAATAATTGTTATGGCCTGATTGAGCTTTCAGCAGCCACAGGGAGTTCAGAAACGTTGCCTGACCCTGCAGTCTGATCATGGAGGAGCTCAGTCAGTAACATCCTTGGTCAAGTCACCTAATAGGAATAACTGGCATGCTGCCTGCTTCCCAGGACTGCAGGAGATTTATTAGTTCCTGCTTGTGCACCACTCTGAAAGTACAAAGTGCTAAATGTTGCTAAAAGCTGTTAGGAAAGAATGTGTTCATGGACAACAACAGTATTTTACAGCTTTTTTTTTTTTTTCCTATGCTAAAGTTTCCATGCTCAAATAGGGTACATATACCCAATGCATGCATGCACGTACACACACACACACACACACACACACACACACACACACACACACACACACACACACACACACACACACACACACACACACACACACACACACACACACACACACACACACACACACACACACACACACACACACACACACACACACACACACACACACACACACACACACACACACACACACACACACACACACACACACACACACACACACACACACACACACACACACACACACACACACACACACACACACACACACACACACACAGAGCAAGAGGAAGGGGCAGGAAGATGAATGTGCACATGTGAAACAATGCCAAGATGTACTTAAATGGCTTGCTAGATCATTATAGAGCAGTAATTAACTGACCTGACCAATGGAATATTTATTTTAGTTTTTAAAAACGCCAGGGTAGGGATACTGGCTGATTGCTCTTGGGGTTTTTCCAAATTTAAGAAAAGTTGCTTTTTGCGGAAGCCTTGTGCTTTGCTTCTGGGAACCTGAACTGCAGCCACACTGGAGTACTTCACAGACATCACAAAGGCAAGCAGACTAAAGTGCAAAATGAGAGTGACCATTTCATTTTCTTTGCCTAGATTGAGAGAGAAGCAATAAAGAGAACAAGAGAAACAAATGTCAGAAAAAAAATGAGTATTATAAATTAAAGCTATATAAGGATATATTTATAACACAGTAACTGCTTTTTAATTGAATTGTATATGCAACTGAAATTCTATGGCTAAAGGAAAACCCAGTCTGACACTTCCAGGGACAAGAATTCTGAGCGTATATTTTGTATTGGGACCAGGTTCTCCCAACTGATGAATCAACTGAACATAAGAAGTCCCACAGACAGAGCCATAGGAAAAAAGTCCTACCGGAGATCTACCTGACCAGGCTACTCTCCACAAAGGTGAGGGGGGGAACACCTGAAAACGAGATTGGGACACGTTCGTATATGACAAGTGGGATTGTTGTTTGCAGTCTGTAGCAGGAAGGGTTAATTTAGGGCCTGTCCCTCTAGCGAGGCAGTGGGACTCCTCTGTCGTGATATGTGGAGAAGTCTTCAGTGAGGCCACTGGGCACCGCTGGCTCTCTGGGTTCGCTCCAACTTTCTAGCTCTTAATTTGACTAGCAGAGTTGCTGTATGAATCCTCACATGATCTCCCTGAGTGTTAGTCTGACTTCTCCACACATGAAAGGGATGCTGACAGCTTCAAGGCTCATGAAGCACAATTCAAATCTGAGGCTGAATTTCCCCAATGAGAGATCCTACTGGGAAAAGCGATGGAGATGCTCAGCTCTGGGAGCAGGAAGAATGTCTATTCAATCTTAATTCAGATTTGAACTTCCCCGTTCTCTGAGAGTGTTCAGATCCAACAGTTGGGCTCCAAGCCCATCTTTAATCCCAGCATGATGTCTCATTGGAGCAGAGATCACAAGAATGGCCAGCAGTCTCCAGGCTTCTTTGTATTTACTATGCAGAACAATCACAGATGTGAGATCCTAGCGGTAGGAAACTAAAAAACCTCGATGCCAAAAGAAATTAAACCCAAATGCAAGCTAATTATATCACTATGCACAAACAAACCTTTCCCTCCCTGCTTCAGCATCCTCTTCCTCTTCCCCTCCTGCTGGCAGCAAAGCATTTCCCCTTGTGCATACCAGTCACAGTCCCTTAAACTATTTTTCTGGGTTCAGGTGCTGCTGCTTTTCCCAGTCTACATTGTGTGCACTTGTCCCACAGGGCACGCTGCAGAAGTTCCTGGACGACTTGTTCAAAGCCATTCTCAGTATCCGAGACGATAAGCCGCCTGTGGCTGTGAAGTATTTCTTTGACTTCCTAGAGGAGCAAGCAGAGAAAAGAGGGATCACAGACCCTGACACGATGCACATCTGGAAGACCAACAGGTTTGGAAAGAAGACCTCTTCTTTCTTTCTTTCAAGCTCTCAGGACCAGCAGCTGCAAAGCCTTGGTGGCCTGGATTAATCATTAGGTTGCTACAAGTAGAACCAATGAGGGACTTGAAAAACAAGGAGGGGGGGCAAAAGATGAGACAAAATATAGGTTTGGAAAGCGTCGAACAAAGACAGAGCTTAGAGAGCTCAGGGGAGCAGAGAGCTGGAAGAAGAGGCATAGACAGATAAAGGACAGAACAAAGAGGCATGCTAATATGAATAATTAAAGAAGAAACAGAAATGGGAAAGCATGAGAGGAGACAGCAATACTGTTAGCTCCAAGCACTGAATAATCTGAGACAGATTCCAAAATCATGTCAGGTTTTAAAACATCACAGAGATTTTAAAATCAGCCTATTTGGCTCCTTTTCGTTTGTCTTCTGGCTTTTCAGCCGTTGGGGGCGCTTTTTCAGACTTATCTCTATAAGCACGCTAAGACTCTAGGGTATTCACAGGACTCCAGGAGCTGACACTGTAATAACGTCATGACAGCTGGTAGCGCAGCACTGGGGAAGAGCTGGGAATTGTACTGAGGGATGTTATGAATAGCAGGAAGGGGGTAAGAAGAGTGAAGAGGAGAAATAGAGAAGGGAAGAAACAATGAAACTTAACAGAGGGAGTGCAGGGAGGTTGGTGGGAATACGGAGGAGACGCTCGGCTCTTCTGAGGCTGCAGGGACAGTAACTGTTTCCAGCCCAGCACGTGAAGATTAAAAACAAATTTGTCTGCAGATATGACACGTGAACTACAAATTTGCCTAATCTTAGTTATCTTTAATGGCCAGTAGCGGTAAGACCTATAGGAGCTTTCATTCATAGGCTTCTGAGGAGAGCTAGTAGGAATGGCTGGCACTCTACCGAAACTGTGTTGTGGCTGAAAGTGCACTGAAGCAACTGGAGGAGAAAATGATGAAAGAGAGCAAAAAAGATAACATGCAAAACATGGCTAATGGGGCCAGGCTTAATCAGCAGACGCAGGTGACTGTTAACAACAGGAAAAATGCAAAGCGGATTTAGCACCATGCCTACAAAAAAAAAAAAAATAATAATTAGCAAGTGAAGAAACCTGATTCAAAAGACATACACAGGCAAAAGTGCCAGCTCCTCTCCTGGCACTCAGGCTAGCTCAGTGAGTTACAGAAGTTGGGGGGGGAGGGGGATAAGCTCTCATAGATAAGGCTGTACATGAGGGCTGCTGTCTGTGCCTTGTGCTTCAGACTGAAGAAATGTCTCTTCAGCGTTAAAATGTGTGCCTGCCCCTTGAGCTAGACAGAGTAACTTATTCTACTAGGATGTGATTAAGTAACAGAACTTGTCTCAACATTTTTCCATCTCTTTTATTCACTTTCTATCAATATCTTTCCTGCATGTCTTTTCCTTTACTCCCTGTGGAGCACAAAAATTCACCAGGTGTGTGTTCCTGGCTCCGTTCCTTTGCAGCCTACCTCTGAGGTTTTGGGTCAACATCCTGAAGAACCCCCAGTTCGTCTTTGACATTGACAAGACAGACCACATAGACGCCTGTCTCTCTGTGATAGCCCAGGCCTTCATTGACGCCTGCTCCCTATCTGATCTGCAGCTGGGCAAGGTACAGTATACAGAGGACATGTCACTCCTGCTAAGGAAGTCATAGACGCAGAAGAATGTAGGTGGGAGGGACTTCTGAAGGTCATCTGGTCCAACACCCCACCCTAAAGCACAGCTGACTGTGATCCAGTTGCTCAATCTCATCCCGTTGAATTTTGACTTGATGAGTCCTTCCCCCTCCGATTGTTCAGGCTTGAGCTTAGAACGTGCGCCTTCTCTGTCACAACTAGCAGTGAGAGTGGAAACACGTAGTCACAGGTATGATGGACAAAGGGCAGAAATCTGCAGCCTGGAAAGCTCAGAGGATGGAAACCTGGTTAGTGACTTGTGTCTCCATCTTGTTGTCCCATCATTACAGGAAAGCTACACCCAGCTCACTCAGCGCAACTTCCGTAACGTTTCCCTAACGAGGAAGACCCAGCCGCCTAAGGAGTTAGGCTGGTTTGTTAGCACACAGTCTTTATTGTTGGCTGGGACAAGGGGATAACACATCAAACGGTGCACAGACGGGTCTTAGTTCTGCATCTGGACATAGTCACAGAGCATGGGCAGACTCCCAGTAGCAGGATGGGGAACCTTGATATACCACTGACAGAAAGAATTAAAGTTTCATTTGGAGTTTTCTACACAACTTCTCACCTCACAAAAGTCTGACATCAGAAACCTCCACAGGGTGGCTCCTGACCATCCCCACTGCCCCTAGGAGGTGAGCCAACCTTTTGTGAGTGAGAGTTATGTTCTGCTCGTGGCTGGGCAGCACAGACCCGGTCTAACTCACACTTGCAGGTTTTGGGACTGCTCAGTGCCATACCATAGACAGCATTTAGCAGCACCCTGGCAGATCCATGGCAGCTGCACCCCGCTGACGGAAGTTTCTCCATCACACTTATGGTAACCCTCTGGAGTACAGTCCAAGCCCTGAGGGACTCAGCACACCCGCTTAGGAAGCTCAGCATGCCCCTAGCAAACCTCTAGAACGCATGGGCCAGCTCTCCTCTTCTGCACATCAGCATCCTGTGCCCCCTCCCCGCCGGCCAAAAGGCAGCAAGATTTTGAGTGCGTGTGTTTTCCTGTTCTCCCTCTGGCTTGGCTGAGTGTAGTGTTGACATTTGAAACTTCCCGACATAAATAAGCTTTATTAACAAACGCTGTAAATCATCCCCTACCGTCCCCCACCCCAGAGGCTGGCAGGAGTACAGTGCGTGACGTGGCGGCAACCCTAGGGAGAGCTGGGAGATGGGCCCTGCCACACTGAGAGCAACAGGAAGCCTTTACTGGGAGAGATTAATACTAGCGGAAGATCTAATGAGCCCTTGATTTTTTGTTTGTTTGGGTTTTGGACTTTTTTTTTTTTTTTTTTTTTTTCTTTTTTTCGCAAAACCCCC